GTTTTAAAATCATTTCAAGTCCTTCACTCTTTCCTTGTCGTTGGTTCTTCTTTGTGGTGACTAATTGGACAAGCCTTCCTAAGTTCTTTTTTGTTTCTCATAGAATTTTATTAGTGTTGGTGCCTTGGCATGCAACTTAATTTTACAAAGTTTTTTCTATCTGATTCAATTTCTTGTTTTGTGCATTTATTTTTTTACTATATTATTTTCTTCTTTCAGTCCCTAATTGTGAACAACCTTATATTTTGGTTTCTTGAGATATCCTCCAAATGCTGCAATGTGAATAATTAGTAGTTGCTTAGGTGTTGTCTGCACATTCGCCACATTGTTTAACCTGAAGATATTCTTGTCTGGGTTTTGGATGTTATAAACAGCGGCATCAACTTTGAATGTTATTGCAATCCAGGCTAGTCTTCATCTTCCTTATGACCATCCATATTTGGTTCAGAATCTCTCTGTTCAGGTAAATGTTGGCTCTGATATTATGATTTATGAAATGCGTTTTCACAATGCATATTTAGTTTGTGAGTTTATGCTCATGGTGACTAACATGCCAGAATTTATATCCTTTTTTCCATATTGTGAAAATCTTCCCCCCTCCACCGGTTCAAATTTTGGTGTCTCATGATCAACAAAGAGCTCAAATTATCTTCTCATTTCCGAGGATGTTTGTCTGTTGTTTGGTATCAATTAGCGATACTCTAGACAATTAGTTGTGTATTGTTAATATTTCAAGTAATAACATAGATGTTGTGTCTGGAAGTTCAGTCAATTCAAAAAATGAAGCACTTTGGGTCTCTACAGCTGTGTTATGTTTTTATATCAAGAAGTATTAACCTAAGTCTGAGTTGTACTTAAATTAGTGCATATCAAGATCCATTTATTGTTTGTTTTTCCCCAATCTTGCAGGGTTTTAACAATGCAACTGTTCCACCTTCTGCTCAAGCTACATTTCCATACATATTTGGTGTCAGCAAATTTTTGCAGGTGAGGTCATTTTGCTTGTTATATGCCCTCAGTTGTTTTCCTTTTGATATGAATATTGTTTTTTTAACATTGAAAATGGTATAATTGGCCTTAACTATTGCAGCCCGGGTCATTTGATCTTGTTGGGAATATTGTGTATGAAATAGACCAGAATCACTACCAAAGCACATTCTACAATGGCACCATTGAAGTGACCGAGCCTGGAAGTGTTCTCAGTGTTGAGTCTGTTTTCTTGTTTTTTCTTGGAGTTGGTATTCTTGGCCTTCTTGGATTCTGGGTTCATGGTCAGATCCAGCGCTTCTCAAAGGTGATTGCATTTGACTACTATCAGGATTATACTTGTTTGAAAAAATAAAGTTTCATCTGTTAATGTCAGCAAGGAAAGCATAGATTACACAGACCTTATTCTATTATTTTCTGAAAAATATACAGTGAAATCTTATTCAAAGAAAAAACTTAGGGTCAGTTTCGAACCTGGAAAATGATGAAACTTATACAGTGAAATCTTATACCAAGATAAAGACTAAGACACTAAAAAATGTTATATAATTGTTTTTTTTTCCATTCATATTTTCCAAGTACAAAACAAAGCATAAGAAACTATTTTGCCTGAGCTTTTTTAAAACTTTCACTACCCGATTCTTGTGGCTAAACAAATCCTTAAGCTGACTGTGTTTTGTTTCCCTTAACCCAATTTATAGAAAACTAAGAGGGCTCCAAAGGCGGCAAAGGTCGAAGTTGGAACTGGAACAAGGGATGCTGCCATGGACGAATGGTTGCAGGTTTGGCTTCTTTCGGTTTCACATGTTTTTTTATAAAAAGTCTACATGCTTATCTGGTGCACATTTTAAAAAAGAGTTGCACTAATAATACACAAACATTTAATGTTTTTCAGGGAACTTCATTTACCCAGTCACAATCTAAATCAAAGAAGAAGAATTAAAACAACAAAGTGTTTCGATTAGTTGTGTGCTGCATCTGCATTCATTCTAGAGAGGAAGTTTCCTGTGTTGGGCGTTTGAATTTTGGCGAATGCTGAAAAGCTGTGGGATAGTTAAAATTGTATTCAAACAACCCCTACACCAGTGAGTGTTGTAGCTGTACACTAGCTACTAGACTTTGCCCATTGTGTTTTTACTGCCAAAACTGACTTCACCTTTGAGATAGGTTTGAAAAAAACAATTTTTTTAACGCCCGATCCTTTTACTGTTTCAGTTTTACTTTGATCTTTGATCTCTTGGTAATTTGCTGTTAATTGGATTTACTTGGCTCTTTCTCTCTTTGTTTGGTATTGACCCTTTTGGCATGATCATTTTTGGGTTGCATAAATGTTGTGACGTCTCAATTGGTAATATATCTTTTTACAAACGAGTCACCGTGAGACCCATAGGTATTCCATGACATTGCTAATGAATGTCGGGGTAAATATTACATAGACAAAGCTATAGAAGCAGTGAGCGGTTTCCCGTTAGCTTCACGCTGACCCAATAACTTGGGCTTTAGGCAGATTGGGCCTAGTATTCCGTAATGTATGGATGATGTATAAGGAAATGCAAGTTCAAACCTAATAATGGGTAAGCATCGCTTTCTGTTTAAAAAGGTTTTCTTATTTTGATCGCACAATATCCACTGCCTTTTCACATCATTTTGTGCTGCTCATTATCCTCTGTAAACCATGACAGCTACATCCCAACAACGACAATAAATTGGTACTAACATATAAATAGAAAATATATAAAATGCAGCAGACAATAATAAGAAATACAGTATATGATTTATTATCCTAGATAATATGGGGACAGGCCGATGAAGTGTCATTTACTCCCACGGTTTCAAATTTAGTTCTCCTATGACTTTGAGAAGATTAAAACAGTTTAAAATGTGATGAAAGGCTAAATGTGGTCATAACGTGTTTAGAAGAGATGAATGTACTTTGGATCGCATATTTTTTCTCAAGAAGAGAAAGAGAAGACTAGAATGTTTTGTTTATGGACGAATGAGAAGTTCTGCAATGTATTTGTGTTTTAACAAAATCTAATCAGCTAGGTTACAAATATACAAGATGCCCTACGATGCTCCATTAGGTCTCAGACCTCACCTTGAGTTTTACTGTAAAAAAAGCACGGATTACATCGAAAAAGAATATATGACTACATCTTAAACAAAATTTGTCTCTTCCATGTAAATTTCTACTATGCCGTACATTTTTTTTTAATAAAAAAATAAACTTTATTCTTAAAAAAGAGAAAACTATGTCTGGATTTAATGTGAGAGGGAATATGTGGTCAAAGAAAGGCTTGAAATGTGCACACAATCAGAAAAGGTAAAGCATTTGTTGGTGCATCAGAAGAATAAAAGACCCAACAGAGTTAAAATTCTCATAAGCAGAGGTTAAAAAAAGGAAAGAAATCAAGAAAAGGAGATGGAGGATGACTTTGGCGCCAACCCCATATTGCGGTTGCGGTTAATTGGCATTTATTGTAAAGTAGTGTGACCCGACCCTTTGGGCGTTGTTACTACTGACTCTGTGTGTGTGGTCACAGACTGGGACATGGAATGATGGCAGAACACAACCACTGCAAATTGTCCATTTATTACCACTCCCTCTCTTCCTTAAAAATAATTGGCTAAATTCCACCATCGGTACTTCAACTTTATCAATTGTGCACGATTGGTCCTTCAAGTTTTAAAAGTCCATAAATAGTCCTTCAACTTTATGAGTTATGCACGATTGGTCCTTCAAGTTTTAAAAGTGCATAAATAGTCCTTCAAGTACACGTCAGCCCTCCAGATGAGATTTTTTTGACAGTAAATGTTAAAAGCTAAATGGAATACTAGCTCCATATAATACGGAGTAGTCGTACCTAGTGGAATTTACTCGTATTATATGAAACTAGTATTTCGTTTAACTTTTAATATTTACTATCAAAAGGACTTCATATGGAGGGCTGACGTGTACCTGAAGGACTACTTATGGACTTTTGAAACTTGAAGGACCAATAGTGCAGAAATCATAAAGTTGAAGGACTATTTATGGACTTTTGAAACTTGAAGGATCAATCGTACACAACTGATAAAGTTGAAGGACCAATGGTGGATTTTAGCCAAAATAATTAAACATTCATCTTTTTTCTTTTCTAATTGCGTATACACATATATATTTACTGCCCATGACGCATTGAAGTGGACAGAGTCAATGTTATGGCTTTATTATTATACATATTCATGTGAAGTTTGCGTGCGCTTTTAATATATTGATGCCTATAAATTCCAACTTTGAACTGCTCTGGGATTATATTATTTGGAAATGGTAAATAAATGGAAACCACCCATATATATATATATATATATATATATCATTATATTAATCAAACTAACTAATCTGCTGGTTGCTTGTATTTACATTGCAGGGATGGGTCATGAATTATATAAAGTACAATCTATTCCATAATCTGTAGTCTAGCTAGGCAATTAGTGTATGTTTTTGGTTTAACTAACCTCCTGGCCTGGCATAGCCTGGCATAGCCTAGCTAGCCCGGATGAATACTCAATCTTGCCTACCTCTATCACTTTGATCCATATGTGAACTGGAATGAAGTTTTTTTTTTTTTACCCCAGGCCATATATATATATGTATGTATGTAACATCAACATCATTATCATCATCATCACCATGGTACATGACATAGCACGTTAGATGAAATAACTTAATATAACAAGCTTAAACATATATACACTAGCTGCAACTAATTTAATTAAGTCAGTATCAGTATGAATGATGATCCATCAACCTACCCGTATGTGAGGTGAGGGTCTTTAATTTAAAGTGGGCACGTAGTAGTAGAAAGCGTCGGTGAGCGTTTCACACAAACTGAATTCAATTTTTGAACTTTCTCCCTCCCTCTCTGTCACCACCACTTCTTAGCTACCTAGCTTCCAGATCAGATCATTAAATGACATGTTTTCTATAGTGCAATGTATGTAATATATATAATATAATTATGTGCTTGTTTGTGTATATATAACGGCCCTCTCACTGCACCGACTCCATCATCAAACTCACTTTGCATGCAGGCTCAACTAGCTTGCCTGCTCTGATCCTCTCTAAGTGCACTCCTCAGATGGGGCTCGTTCCTCGGCCCCTGAGCCGGATCCGCAGCGGAACCCTCCTCCACGTCCTCCTCCTCGGATTCTTGTTCCTCGGCTTCTGCTACGGTGACGACGGCAACACTGTCAATGTTGTTGGGTTTGGAGAATGCTCTGACTGCAAGGACTATAACATCAAGACCAGTCATGCCTTTCCAGGTATATTTTGTTATGCATGTCTAATTCACACTGACTATAATCATTAATTAATCACTTGGCTTCTAACAGTTATATATATGAATTATTATGTGCAGGGCTTCGGGTGACGATCGATTGCAAGGTCGGTGGAGGGGAGAAGAATGGAGGAGGGATGCAGAGGATGGGAGAAGGAGAGCTGGATAAAGATGGCAAGTTCCAAGTGTCATTGCCAAAGGAGATGGTGAAGGGGGATGGGGAGTTGAAGCAGGACTGCTATGCTCAACTCCACAGTGCATCTTCTACCCCATGCCCTGCCCACAATGGCATTCAGGCTTCCAAGATTGTTGCTGCTTCCAAGAAGAAAACACATGCGGCGGCGTTTGAGCCGGCTGAGAACCTCAAGTTCTCCACTGCCTTTTGCACCTCGGCTTTCTTGTGGCCCTACTTCAAGTTCCCCCCCATGCCTGACCTCCCACCCTTCCCTAGCATCGATCCCTGGAAGAAGCATTTTCCTAAGGTTTCCTTCCCGCCTTTGAAGCACTTTGGCCACCCTTTTCCCCTCCCATTCCCACCCTTCACCAAGCCACTCCCACCTCCCGTTTCTGTGCCCGAGCCTGAGCCACCAGTTGACAACCCACCTCCAGTACCTGTCTACAAACCGGAACCCAAGCCAGAAACCAAGCCACCCGTTTATATTCCACCAGTCAACCCACCTCCAGTTCCTGTCTACAAACCAGAACCCAAGCCACCCGTTTATATTCCACCAATTGTAAAGCCAATTCCGCCTCCAGTTCCTGAATACAAGCCGAAGCCCAAGCCACCTGTTTATATTCCACCTGTAATTAAGCCCATTCCGCCTCCAGTTCCTGAATACAAGCCGAAGCCTAAGCCACCGGTTTATATTCCACCTGTGATTAAGCCGGTTCCACATCCTGCTCCTGAATACAAGCCTAAGCCCAAGCCACCAGTTTATATCCCACCCGTGATTAAGCCGTCTCCACACCCAGTTCCAGAATACAAGCCGAAGCCCAAGCCACCGGTTTATG